CCCAAAGTTACACCAAAGTTACACTTTCTACTACTACGAAAATTACATTCCATATATTCAATTTTAGTTCTACTCAAATGAAGGCCTTTAGATCCATTGTAAACCGCCATAATTCAAGTTTTTTCCTGGGCTCTTTCGCTCGTCTTATCCACGGAAGGATATCATCAGCAAAAAACATACACCAAGGTACATCCTCTTGAAAATGTCTAGTAAGACCATCCATAACTAAAGAAAAAATATATGGGCTTAAAGCCGATCCCTGATGTAATCCAACAGAAATAGGAAAATATTTGGTCAATCCTCCTTCAATTCGAACACAAGTAACAACTCTAGTATACATATCTTTAATGACTTGAATATAAGTCATATCAACACCTTTCATCTCAAAAACTCTCCAAAGGATATCTCTAGGAACCTTCAACTTGAGATATAGATAATACTAAACCCATTTGCCATTATTTTAACCATAAGGAAATATAGATGATTGCCAAAACTACTGTTGAGCACTTCTATTTACGCATAATTTGTGGTTGAAAAACAAACCAAAACTAAGGTATTGCCAAAACGTTTCCATAAGGTTAGTCAGAAATATCAAGCAAATTAAGTGTCACGTTTAAAAAAAATTGACATGGAAAACATATCACTAAAGAATGGACAATTCATATGTCATGTTCGCAATATTAGTGCATAGTAAAAAGTAAGCCAAGTTATAGATTCGGTTAACTATAACAAATATGGAGTACAATTTGTGAGCCACTTTTAGCAAAACCAAGAATAAAATTTATAATAAGATCTTACCAAGGTGAATGCGGGATGAGCAATGGTGCTTATGGTCCTGATGACATGAGAAAAAACTAGTTTCATGGAAGGAAGGAAAAAAATACTCTTGGTAAGTCCTAGTTTTACAACAACCAACATGCTTGATTAAACCACATGCATGTAATTCTCAAATAAAATAGCTTCTCAACAATATATGGGTAGCACAAAGAAGGGATTCCCAAAATGGAAACAATCATAAAGTGAAAAGGTAAAAAGAGTAGGATAACTTTCCATAGTGGTTGAAATGTAGAATTCCTTAAAGTCAGAGCAAGAGCAGCATAGTCTTCTTTCGATCAAGAAAACACATGAACTAAAATAAACATAATAAATAAGTGTGAGTGGATGTGAAAGATGGCATTGGCAGCCTAATTATTAACACACCCACAAGATGCTTGACGATAAACCTGTACTTCTAAAGATATGAGGCCCATTTAGTGCCATTCATTTGGTTACTTAGTGATTGTACGTACATCAAGGCCTCATCATCCATGTGAACAAACTCGTATGGCAAAAGATAGTGACAAAAGTGTCATAAGGCATGTAAGTTGTGTAAACTCGTGATCGCATTTAGAAAAGGATAGCTGTCACTATTTTTTTTTTTTTTAACTAAAAGAGTGTAGGGCAAGACTACTAGCTAAGGTCACCAACAATGCATATTTAAGAGGCATCACAAGCTACTAAAAATACTTTAGAAAAGTGACGTTGGAAAAGGATAGGAGAATCAGCCGTTTATATTTAATTAATTAAAGAAATAGTCCGCTGAAGATAGCCAATCAAATGCTTTCTTCTTCAAGAAATCTGTTAATGGCCATGATTGCGCTAAACCCCTTCATAAAAGGTGACAAAGACATGAAAACTACAAAAGAAAAATATATAGTTGGGTAGGAAATAGTTGAAGGGACTAGAGAAAAGGAAAGCAAAAAATAAACCAAAGGAAAAAATGGCAAGACTCAAAATACGTAACAAATGCAAATGTTTAAGGGAAAAAAAAAAGTAGAAGTCAACTAAAAAGCCATAAAAATGGGATACTTTCTCCTTTGAAATCTGTCCATTAGAATCTACTACGACCGACCTTGAAGTCACTATAAATGAATTTCTAATCTAGGTCTCCCGAGATGATATATTATTTGTAAGGATAAGAATATCTAATTTATGTGAATTTGAAAGGAGATATGACTAAAGAACGAACATCAAAGTAGTAGTCTCACAAGGAAATCACAATTGCTATGAATGCAACATTGAGTGCCTCAAGTCTATCATGTTTGATTCAACTGTGTTGCACATGACTGGTTATAAGGCTAATTGCAAATTTATTGTCATAATAGAGAGTACTTGGAAAATAACCATACATTTGTAAGTCCTCCATCAATCTTCCTAGCCAAATTATTTCACAAAACCTTGTGCATAGCATGAAACTCTACCTCAATGCCACTTCAAGTCATAGCAAATAATATCTTACTTTTACATAAGACTAGATTTGCCCACCAATCACAAGGTAGACTTTCTAAACTCGCTACTTACCTAATAAATATTAAAAAATCCTTTTATGGTTATCTCTTTTGTTTGTTTTGAGACATTAAGCCGGTTCTAAAATACCCTTTAAATATCTTAATTGATGAATTACAGCATCCATGCAAAATTGATCGAGGGAATGAATGAATTGACTCATCAAACTACTACATAAGCAATATCAAACCTAATTAGTGAATTAATTTAGTCTACCAACTAATTGTTGATATCAGTCTACCAACTACTTGTTGATATCTCCCTATTCCACAAAATGATCTTCTTCACCAATCTTCCACATTCAATTCAAATGTAGTAGACTTCCCACAGGTCTATATCAAAATTTATGAATCTCTTTAAAGAGTAAAGAATACATTTTCTTTGAGAAATAAATATATCTTTTTTACTTTGAGTTATTTCATCCAAAATAAGTGCATAAAT